TTGTGACAAAGCTCTGCCCTTGCCTCCGTGGGTCCTGCGTTTCCTGGAGGATTTCGCTAGCCTCAGAGGCTCACTATGACCCTCCACGTAACTCTTCTCTCTCTAGAGACAAGGGTCACAGTCTACTGAGCCATTTTCATCATAAGCCAGCGAGGGAGGTGAGGAGAAGTTATCTGTCCTTGCACAGTCTCTGTTGTCTCCCAGTCTCAGTGATTAATCAGGGGGCAAAGGGTGGGGGGGAGCCTGGGCCCACCCTCTACTCCAGCTTCCAGCCCAGGGACCCTAATAGTATCAGCTATGGTAGCTGACCTTTTAGAAACATGACATGTACAATTCCCTGGGCTACTTCCCCCACAGCAGCCCTCACTTCCTCAAGCTCCACTTCACCCTTACCTCAGGGCCTCCTTCCTTGTGCCTGATGTGGTGTGTACTACTCAGTCTCTCCAACAGCGCAACTTCCTCCCACAGCTCCTGACATGCACACCCACCTGACTGACTGGGAGGCTTTTAACTAGTTTCAGCCAGCCCCTGATTGGCTTCAGGTGTCCCAATCAACCTAGCATTCTCCCTATCTTCTGGAAAGTTCTTAATTGGCCCCAGGTGTCTTAATTGACCTGGAGCAGCTGCCATTTCACGTATCCTGGTACCAGGGATTTGTTCAGCCTGGAGCTAATATATCTATCTCCCACTACTTTTCTATAGCCAGCTGGCCTTGCCCCGTCACAGTATATAAACCTGAAATGAAATATGGATTCAGAACTAAACCTCTCCAAAATTTGGGGGGCTAAGGCCCATCTCTATTGCAAACCTTCTTAGTCTAAAAAACTGGGCTACAGATCTCACAGGGAAAGGACCTTTGAAACCAGGCTTTTATACTTGTGCCCAGAAGTTTTCCCATCCATATCTTCTTCCTCACATGTAATTTTCACATACAAGTTTTGAGCATGCAAAATACTCAGGCTGGTAGGTATCAATCACATTTGAACAGGTCAAGTTGGGTAATTAGTCATCTACCTACTCAATTCTGTATGCAATTTGTGTATGCCAATCTGAGTAATTGTATTTGCCAAACCCTGGGCACAAAATATTATGCATGAAGAAAGCCAGGTCCAAAAAGCACTTTAGCCCCCAATCCTGCTATCCATGCACAGGAAAAGCTCCCATTTACATCAATCAACATTTTCAAAATCTGTTTTTCACACCTATTATTTATCAATGGGAGTTTTGCCTATACAATGACTTCAGGATTTGGCCCACAGTTACTGCTTAGTGTAATCTCTTCTTATTTAGCATTTTAAAAAAGCTTGTTTTGGTGTGATCTGGTGACAAGGAGTTGCACATTCCTAGGAAATTAATACAATGGGTTCAGATAGCCAGTGATCTACCAATCCTTATAAAAATCTCAGTTCACGCATGTTCAGTCAAGACTTGTGAGAGTTTGGCAGCTAAATTCTTGAAAGATTCTTTCTGCACTGAGCCTGCTCCACCCCCTCACAGCTCCTATGTGTCGACCAGACTATATCTGTGACATTCCCACAGGGTGACTGAGTATACTCTGGCCCAGGGCTTTCTTGCAATTCCTCCTCCTAGCTGCCCAGGAGCTGTGAAACTGAGAGCAAGGAGTCTGTCTCTCCTGTGCTCTCAACGCTACTCCTGATGGAGCCCAGGCAATGTGGTGGAGAAGAAAGAAGCAACCTCTAGAATGCAGAGTGGGGAGGAACAGAGAGGGGTGAGGGAAAGATGGAAGGTTGGTGGACAGAGGCAGGATCTCAGGGAGGAAATGGGTAAAGAGTCTCGAAGGGAGGGAGTTAAGGGGGTAGGAGCTAAAGAGACAGAAGATGAAAGAAGGTCAGGAGCAGGGGACAGGTGGAGGAGCAGAGGGAATGGGATGGCAGTAGGAACAGGGAGGGGGTGAGACAGGGATTGTAATCAAGCAGGAGATAGCGTGATAATAGCAGTAGGGGACAGAGCTGGGGAGTCAAAAAGGTCAGTAATCTCTCGGCATATTCCCCTCCAGAACTGGAACTGAACCCATTATCCCTGGGTCTCAACATTCTTTTACTGTCTGTCAAACAGCCATGAAAGCCGCTGGCAAAGTGTGTGTCTCCATCGCCCTCTATAGGTAGGTCTTCATAGATTATAATAGCCAGCTTCTACTATCAGTTACTCCTTTAGCTCAAGTGGTAGGGAACTGTACTGTGGATCTAAACATCCCAGCTCTGCTGATGATCCATGTGAGATCATCATGGTTCCACATGATTGCATTTTTGTTTTTAAATAATACATAGGAAATTACATTTTGTACCCCTAATAATGGTCTTTTAACATCGTGTTTTGGTTTGGTTTGGTTTTTAAAGACAAGCTCTCTAAAGTTAGGAAATGCCAAAATTAAGGTTGCCCATGCAGACAGCCAGAAAGTCAGTGGTAACTTTATAATTACAGGGTTAGATTGTATGCAGGATGCAAAGTTAAATTATAGGCCAGAAAACTGAAACCCAGAGTGTGATAAATACTCTGAAAAGGTGAATAACTTCCAGCTTGCATGGAGGGTTTTGTTGGTAAGAGACAAAATTAAGTGTGGACAACTGCCAGGCTGGGTGGACAAGTGGAGAGTTTTGCCTCTACAACTTTTGAGAGTAGCCCAGCCCATGGGCTGCTCTGGCTTCACAGGATGTTATCCAGAAATAATCAGTCTTATCCAGAATACTAGGGACGCCTCCTCTCATTGCTACTTTCTTCTTTTTCTCTTCCATTGCAGGCCAAACTTCCTTTGCTTTTTTTGGGATGTCAGATTACATTAATCAAGCTCCAACTGCTGAGCCTCCATCAGGGAAACAGAGAATTATAAAGCCGTTGGATCACAGGGACATCAAACCCAGTGGTTTTATCAGCTGCTTATGTAAAGACAGAGATCTGCTACAGTCAGCTGAAAACACTGGTGAGGAACCAATATTGCTAATGGAACAAATATCGCTGGCAGAAATTTAGTTACAAACAAGCTTATCACAGCAATAAAGCCCTTCTAGGAGCCTTTTTTTTGGTCAAATAAGGATAAGGAATAGTGTGTCAAGTGACTGTGCCATTAACTTCTCAGTACTAGCAATTATTATACCAATAACATATCCAGCCCTATCACTTCACTAAATTACCTGTGGTTTGACAGAAGCCTGCTAACAACCTTGTATTATGTGCAGTGTCTGTTGTCTATTATTGAAGCTACTAGCAACTCTCCAAACAAGTTCTGCTGCTGAATATATGGCAGCACCTTCCTATGACTAATTATGTCTTGACAAGGGAAGGATTTTACTTTCTTTATTATCTTCAGGCCATGGGCAGTGGCATCTCTTAGCCACAGCATTCCTCAATGTAAAGCACGATGTTCCAAAATAACAGCTCAAGATTCAACCTAAGGCAGGCCTGAGAACTGATATCTCACTATTTACAAACACAGTGGAGAACTGACCCACTAGCAACCCTCTGAGGTTTTTTTTTTAATCCACCTGTAACACTTAGACAATATTCTAAGAAGCATTTAATAAATGCTGATAGATAGGCAGACAGACATGGACGTTGTCCATGAAGGATTAAATATATGTCTCAACAACTTGCAGAAGCATAAAACAGGGAATAAAATGTGCAAAAATGCTATTTGTTTCCATTAAATGTCTCCATTGTTTCGGATATCAAATATCTAACCATTTTTTAAAATTTTTGTTCATACGGTAAAGAGAAGAGCTGGTTGTCTATGATAAGCTGGTAGCTCAGGGAGCTCCTTCAAGTGCTTTATAAATATAAGTCTTTCTGATTGTCTTCTTTCTCTGTTCAATAAGATCACATTTCCTATTTAAATAGCTGATTGGAGGGTTGGTTTAAAAGTAAGCAGTATCTTTCAGTGACTGGCTCTCAGGGGTCATTGCAATAAGTACAGAACTCTGTTGGTACTGTGTGAGGAGCCTAGTTCTGCGAGTTTAAGAGACATTCATCTACTGCTGTACATGTGCTTTTTCATATTTGAAAAGCTGCTTTTCGCCTTCATGTTCAGAGCCAAAGTTTATTTTCGTAATATATTTCTCCCATCTCTTTCATACGTTGCTCATTTCATTTTGTTAACAAATCTCAATTTTCAAAAGGCTTTCAAGAAAAAAAGGCTTTGGGAGTCTTCTTGTCCTATCTTACAGGAAATCCAAAAGGCAGAATTCTGTTGCCAGCTGCTGATAATCACCACAATTTAGGGAAGATGGAGGGGGAGAGTGGTTTATGCCACATTGTGCAATCTGCGAACAGAATGGGCCTGGTTCTCACTTAAAATCAGGAGTTGTTCCACTGAAGTCAGTGGAGTTACACTGCAGTGAAACTGGGATAAGTGAGTTCAAGCACTGTGTGTGTTTTAGTTGCTTATCGTAGTGTGCAAAAATCATGAGCATCATCCCAAAGCCTTGTGAAGTGACAGAGTCATATTATCGATGCAAAGTAAGACATTTGACAGGAGGATAGTCACGTATCATGCTGGAAACCAGCTTCTGGACCTGTCTGGTCTGGTCTGGTCTGGTCAGGATCCATTTCAGCCTTTTTTGAAGTTAATTGTATGTCAAAATCAAGCATCTGAAATTGCAGAATCCGAGCCATGTGCAGTAGCTTTCCTCTTTGTTTTCATAGAGCCTAAAGGGGTTTGTCAAGGCATTTTCTAGACAGGCTGGTGGCATGTCAAAGGCAGAACTAAATCTTTGTGACTGATCAGGGCTTCACAAGAAGGAGCTGATTGTGTCCTTACAGAACACCCAACTTTTCTGCAGGGCTGAGTGGGCTTCTGTCCTCATTACAGATTACTATCACACCGCAGCAGCACCACATGGTTTGATATGCTAGTCACATCCAGTCCTCCATCCATCCAGGGACTGCAATCAGGTACCTGATAATAATGCAAGTCACATCAGCTGGACTGCTGCCGCAGTGCACTGATTCATGCTGGTGCCTTGATGCAAATAACAAGGACACCAGGGCCAGAAGATGTAGGAGCCTGTCTTTATTACACAGATGCTGTTTTCGAGCTGGAACTTTCCAGTCTCTCGCTCCTCTTGCAGGTATGCAGTGTATCTACATTCCATCTCCTAGCCTCTGGCAGAACAATGGCACTGTGTAAATACATAAAGAATAGCCAGGGTGGTGTGAGGAAGGGCAGGGGCAGGGGCAGGGGTGGGGGTGGGGGTGGGGAAATAGGTGGGGGGAGACAGGAACAAATACAATTTAATCACTAAGCAGCTAGTTCCTTTTCAGTGTTGTGGCACTGTTTCTTACTATAAGTGATCTATTCTCCTTTCATCTTTGCCACTGCGTGAAGATTTGTCTTATTGCCGAGAGACACAGAAAAAACAGAAAGGATGGCCATAAACACTGTTGTTTATTTTGTCCGTAATCAGTATACCTTCCTGTGCAGTTTGGGAGACATTAACGTTTCTCTCTGTGTAGGTGCCTATACTTACTATGTCATTTTTCTATAGAGTTTGCCTTTGAGCACTGTGTTATTTGTAAATTACACAAATGCTTAAAAAAACATGATGATAATAATTACCTAAGTTTATATACAGAGGTTTTTTTTCCGCTGATGTAGCTCAACAACAAAACAGCACTGCTGTATCATCCCACACAACATTCCCAAAGTGCTGTACTTCAAAACAAACAACAGAATAAATAACAAATCAAAGCAGCAGCAAACTACAGTTCTTTTCAGGCTACACTAAAATACAGATACTGACTGGGAGAATCTAATGGATAAAAAGAAGGTGCTCAGTCAGGCGGTTCAAAATGCTGTTTTACATTCAACGATTTAGAAAAAAATCATTTCGTTCAGATTTTTCCACAGAATTTTTGGGGCTATTTTTCAACAAAATGAAATAAAGTTTTGTTTTTGTTTCCAATAGAAACTCAGTTAAACATTTGTGGTTTCCCCTCAGGAAAAGGGAAGAGGAAAAGAAAAAAGAATGGCAGAGGGAGGGAGACGAAAGTCTTTGGTTGTCAAAAGCTAAAAAAAAAATTCAGTTTTCGTCAAAAATGAAAAGATTCAACAATAATTTTTGTAATGCAAATAATAAACAAGAAAATCCAAATTACTATGAAAATTTTCATTTCAACTGAAAAGCCAAGCTATCATTGCAAGAGCTAGCCTAATGGCAGCCCAATTCAGTTTGGGGTCTATAGCCATAACTGTAATATGACACATAATAATAAGCATAAGCGTTTAAACATAGCTACTTCAGAGTTAAGGGCAGTTGAATTCAACTGAGCTACACCAGTTTACCGTGGCTGAGGATATGGTGCTAAGAGCATAAATGCAGAATGGTTCTCCATTGTCATTAGATTCAGTTCAGGACAAAATAAATAGCTGGCCAGTTCAAAATTTTAAAGGGTGATGCAAAATATAAATGGAAAGATGATCAAACAGTTATGATGGAAAAAGCCCATTCAGACCTTTAAAAGTAAATGAAAGAACCTTGTAATCAATAAGCGACTTTATTGGAAGCCAAAGTAATGTCTTTGAAAACAGGTATAATACAACCTTGGAGGACCTTTAAGAAAGCAGCCCAATGACATTCCAGTTGTGCTTCACTCTGATCCAAGTTAAATCCCAGGCATGTCCCCCACAAGATGAAGACTTTCAGTAATGCAAACTCCACACAGTGAGAGCATTCATAATTAGTTCAAAGAGCATTCCCGCAAAGCATGGCTCCAACTTGGCCTTATTGTGCACACGGCAACGAGGCAATTTAGCTATTAAGTAAACACAGAGAAATCTAGAGAGAGAGAGCGCTATACCCAATCTTTTATTAGGAGAAGGGCATGTTGGGTAAGAGCAAGATCTCCCCTCCCTCCCTTTCAGCTGAGGTTGGTCACTAATTAAGTGTTCCATGTGGAATAGCAGAAATGCACGTTGTGCCTTCCAATGACAGATTCCATAGGAATTAAACGGAGATACTGCAACCTACCAGCCCCCAGCAAACAGGAACAAATCTGGAGCAGAAACCAAAGCACTACACATGCTACGGCACAAAGATTTCCCCTCCTGGAAAAGGATTTGCAAATTGTATGTATGATGTTGTTGCCCCCTTTTGACCCCAAGCACCTAGTCAACATTCAAGGTCCTGGCGATGTTTTAGATGGGGATAGAAACTGATGATGAAATCTGGTACTTTCTTTGATGCAAACTTGTTTATTTAAAAGGAATGTGCAAGGTCCTGCTTCTCCATACACAGGAGGAAAAGAACTGTTTCTTAGCTTACAGTCCCACACCTAGACCCAGAAGTTCTCACATACTGTGCTCATAGGCTGCTGCTTGGCTTTCTTGTTTTTTGCCTCTGAGTCTGTCTCTTTGCTGTTCTCCCTTCCCTCACACACTCACACATTACCAAAGGCACTGACTTTGTAAAAAATTAAAAATATAAAATATTTAAAAAAATATTTAAAAAAAAACCCCAGCACCCACTGGCAGCCCCATCGATAAGCTCCTCCCCTCCCAGCGCCACCCACAGGCCATGGATCAGCTGTTCAGCAGCATTCAGGAGGTGCTGGGGGGATGGGGAGGAGCAGTAGCAGGAGGAGGCAGGGGGAGGGGGCAGAACGGGGTAGGGACAGAGCGGGGGCAGGAGCTTGGGAGAAGGGGTGGAGAGGGGGTGGGGCCTGGGCGCAGCAGGGGTCAAGTCCCTCTTCTCCCCTGGGAACTGGGGAAGTTGGCACCTCTGCACATTACTCAAAATGATACTCAGCAAAAGCCCTCCCCACACCTAATCCATAATTTCTGGGTAGGTTCACATAACCCTTTTGTTTTAGGCGGGGGCGGTGATTAATTTATCCTTACAGTTATGCTAATTCAAGCTCACTGAGGGCACCCTGCTATGGAAGTTATATTTGAAATCCCTTTCCTTTCATTACCATGAAGTAACCTACAGAATGCTCCTCTCCCGATGGAAAAAGTTTCCTTTCATGTAGTATTATTTTTAAATGGATCTTAATATAGCAGACCAAAGATATCAATATCATCTCAATCAGTCAGCCTTCCCGTTACATAGGAAGATGCTCCTCTGGTCTCCGTTCCTGAGACAAGATTTGGCAGGACAACAGATAATATAGCTTCAAGAGTAGAGATATTGGCACAAGCAAATACAAGGCATAAGGTCTGATTCTCCACTCTGTGATGCCAGTTTTACATGTATTGAAATCCATGAAGTAACAGCAGGAGAGAATCAGGCCCTAATCCACAGACACACAAGGCATGTGACTGCATCTATATGAAAGTCGGCATCCAGTGCTAAGAACAAGCCAGTTTCCCAGTGTGTTTGGCATCTATGATGTGTACACGTTTGCAAAAGGATCAGTAAAGACTATTTTGCTGCCTTACGCATTCAAACAAGATACTGGCAGAGGAGCAGCAGAAGGATCCAAACTCTAGTTTGTGTGTCTTTCTGCAAAAACTAAAGAGATTATTTATTTTAAAGTGATCCGGGTAATAAATCTCCCACGTACCCCAATCAGAGTACCAAGGACAGCAGAAAGGGACTTGAGAGAGACAAGAATGACTAAGCCTCACATTTCACTTGCAGGGCTGGATGAAGCCGTTTGAAAACAGCTTTGATTTACATCTTCCCAGTTATACCACATTATTAAGTAAATGGCTTCCTAAGTGTCAGTAATGAAGTCTCTGTTGGCAGAAGTCAATTCACAGCCCACAGGCAAGCATCTCAGTTTTACCGGATGCCTTGGGGGTTTAGAGGCAACAAAAGCAGTGGGGAGAAAATGTCACATCAAAAGAAAAAAAGATAATCAGCAAAACTGCATTTGCTCTTTAAAATATTCCAGTAATGAAGCCTTCTCTCCCTGCATATAACACCTCCTCTCTTTAGCCTATGAACATACTCTGTATACAGAAGAGAAAAGCTATGGAGAAGACAAGACAAGACAGGAATTCTTTCACCACTTAGAAGGTTCTCTGATGTTTGAGGGATAGGATAACTCACCTAGCTCAGGGCACACAGGAGTGTGAGCTAGTGATTAGAGCATGGGACTTGTAGTTAGAAGTTCTGAGTTCTTTTCCCAAGTCTGCCATTAATTCATGGTGTGACCCCGGGCAAATCACTGATGACCCTGGCATCTGTGGCACTGTAGAACTTTAACTCCCTCTGAAATTAGTAGGAGCTGATGCTCAACACCTATAAAAATCAGGCCTTGAGAAACATCTTCAAAAGCACTTAGCTGCCTTAAGAGGAGAGCGAGGTAGGAAACAGTTTTGAAATTTTTTTCCCATCTTGAATCAGAACAAAAAGTTGAAATCTCTAAAATTTCCATGAACAAAAAATCAAAAAATCAAAAAAAATAAAAAAAGAAAAATTCAGCTTGGGTCAATCCAAATGCTCTATTTTCCTTATTTTGCAATGTTTCATGTCAGTGTTGACCCTTTTTAAAAAGAAGGGTTTTTTTACTCTCACTCATATTTCTAAACAAAAAGTCACATTGAATTAGGAAACCAGAATGTTTCTTTTTGCAAACACTGAAATGAGATTTTGACCATTTTAAACCTTTTGTTTTTTTCAAAACATTTTTGCGTTGAGAAAACAGACTCTTTCCCATGAAAAGTTTTGGTTTCAAAAACTTGGCATTTCATTGAAAAATTCCCAACCGGCTTTGCTTAGAAGCTTAATTCCCACCAAAACTCAAAGGGATCTAAGCACCTAAGATACTTTTTTAAAATAGGACGTGGGTTCGTAGTTCACTTAAGAGGAGCTTTTGAAAATGTTACCCTCTGTGCCTTAGTTTGCCCTTCTGTAAATGGACTGATCCTCTTACTTACCTAACTCACAACAGTCCTGTGAGATTTAAACAATAAAGTGGTATCTGCATGGGTAGATGTCTTTGATTCCTAGATGTTGGATGCTCAGATAAAAAATGAAAAGTGCAAAATGTTATTTTTATTTCTCTCAAATACTTTATAATTTGCCCTTTATAATTAGACCATTAAGGTATACTGCCAGGCCACGCAAAATAATTAAGCTTTTATATGTACACAACTGTATCAGAAATCAACCTGATTCAGACACACTGAAAAATGTTGCTTTACTTTAGAACACACAATGCAGGTAATCGTCCTTGCTCCCCAGTTCCTTCTCCTGGAATGGACTCCAATCTCTGATCTGCTCCTCACTATGGATGCCTCCCCTCCTCTGATCTACAGTAAGCTATAAATGGGGTATCACAGTCCTTAAGTCAAGCCAACCACTGATACAGATGCATCAGACCTTCACATCAGGGTTCCTGTCCTAGTATTATCTCACTCCCCACTCTCTCCTCCACACCATCATCCCAATTATCCCTGGGTTCCTTGTGCATAGTCTCCCAGAATTCCTGGAACCTGCGTTTCCAAAAAATGATAGTCTGGAGCTGTCTTGAAGCAGGAAAAGCACTGGTCCAAATTTTTCTGTCCGAACTGACAATAATTGCAATAATAGCTGCTGCCTCTCGGCGCTCCATCTGGGTACCCAGTCATTAACACAGCCCCCTCACTGCAAATCTGGCTCTTGCAGCCAGTGAAAGCATATGGAGGAGGTCTCTTTCTAAGGAACCCCAGGGATTTCCACTGTGTCTGAGAGCAAGAAATCTAAACAAGAAAATCCGCTCTTTGATTTTTAATGCCATTTCGTACACTGGACTCAAAAGTTTTACTGTGCCAACCAACTGGACCCTCTGATAAACCAAGAGAGGTTGGTGGCCTGACCCTTTTGTAGCCAAAAGTGTTGTTAAAGCCAGGGGGGTCCATATGGAAGGTGAAATGGCAGCTATTCAAATATGCCTGGCATTTACCAATGAGCAGAAGGCAGGCAAGGGGCAATCACTTAATCATTAAGTACCAATGTTCTGAGGATGTCAGGGCCTGGAAGGCAGACATGATGGCTTATTCTACACCCTCCTGAGTCTGCAGCAACAGCCATTCCTGTTGCCACTGTCAAACCATCATATATCCCCAGATGTTCATGCAAGCTGGGTTCAGGCATCTTACTATGACCTAAGAGTAGGAATGGTAGGCATTGGCCTTCGGCGGCAAGAGATTAAGATGAAATGGCCACGCCCAGCAAGCTAAATAAAATATTAATACAACAGTGTGACATGGCTGTGGTGGATGTGGTGCTCATGACAGCGATGGAGTAATAATCCTGAGGTTAGCTGGGCATAGTGAGGGCAGTGGAGATAGTCTTCAGATCCAACCTTTCCCAGAAGCAGAGGGAGGCTGGATCTGGTATCTTAGTATGGCCCCATTTCTGGCATGCAGCACTAGGCAAGCTTTCCAATGCAGGTCTGCAGTGTACCTTAACCCTGGCCTGCCATTACACCTGCTATTCAAGTCCTGAGCCTTTCTTAGAGCTGTATGAGCAGTGAGAGGTGCTTCTCTTGCAGCAGTGTCTCACCTATGTCAGGTAACTGTGAAGCTTCGGTTATTCCCCAAAACAAGACTGCTGCTACTAGGGAAATCCACCACAAGAGTAGACATGCCTGATTCAATATTTTACAGCTTCTTTATGAGGTCTTAAGATTGCAGTATTGTGGAAACTCTCTGTTTCAGGTTAGGGTGACCAGATAGCAAGTGTGAAACAGTTGGGATGCGGGGGCTGCGGGGGACAATAGGGTCCTATATTGGACAAAGCCCCTAATACTGGGACATCTGGTCACCCTGTTTCAGGTGGATGGATAGGCTACAGGAAAAGACAGATCACACACTAAAGCTTTATGAAGATCATTATATTTAACCACCAACTAATTAGATCTAATTAGATCTACTGCAGTAAAACTATAGATGGAAGATTCAAGGCCTCAGAGTCTGAAAGAGCTCCCCTATATATCTGTTGTATTTTTCAGGCCCTGCTACCAGCCTGCTTATTTGTCCCCTTCAACTGAGTGTTGAGAGCCACTCTAGCTGGCACAGAACAGTAGTCATGAGTGAAAGAAGAAAATGCCCCTCTGGGGCAGCATTCAGAAAAAGAAAGAAAGCAAAGGAAGCTTTTCTATCTAAGCAGGAAGGAGCTCTCCTGAGATACATAGACACAAATGTTCATGGTGAGCCTTCTGGCCCCATGAGGATGTGAGTGGTGAGGAGATCTTCCAGTTAGTCAGAGTGCAGGTGACCTGGCAGTTACTGCAGCATCCATATCTCCATCTCAAATGGATTCAACCATGCACATTCCTGAAGAAAAGTGTAGATCAGAGAAGAATGTGGTGGAGGCACAAGAAACAGCTGCTGCTGAGTTTAGTTCCTTGAATCTAGATCAGTGGTTCTCAAAGCCGGTCTGCCGCTTGTTCAGGGAAAGCCCCTGCCGGGCCGGACCAGTTTGTTTACCTGCTGTGTCCACAGGTTCAGGCAATCGCGGCTCCCACTGGCCGCGGTTTGCCGCTCCAGGCCAATGGGGGCTGCGGGAAGGGTGGCCAGCACATCCCTTGGCCCGCGCCACTTCCCGCAGTCCCCATTGACCTGGAGAGGTGAACTGTGGCCAGTGGATCCAGGACTGTGGACCCACTTGAGCAGTAGTCTGAGGGACTTCCTTGTACTGCATGGGCCACAGCAAGTGAAAAACTTCATGTTCCCCAAAGACAATGAAAATAGAAGTTCCCATCCAACACATTACTGGCGTGAAATTGCCAATGGTGACAAAGTGGAGAGGCCATGGCTTATGTACTCAAAAACCCAGAATGCTGCAAACTGCTTTTGTTGCAAAGTCTTCCAGTCTGTTGTTCCAGCCACATTGGATTCTACAGGAACAAAGGACTGGAAAAATCTGGCAAGACATCTCTCATTCCATCTGAAGGCAGCAAATCACCAGAGAGCATTCCATATGTGGAAAGAGCTCGAGATGAGACTAAGGTTAAAGGCCACCATAGATGATCAGCATCAAGAGAAGATTGCATCAGAGTCTCTTTACTGGCCAAATGTACTGAAAAGGCTCATTGCCATTGTGAGAATGCTTGCTACCCAAAACCTAGCACTGCATGGCACTTCAGATCAGCTGTATGTGCCAAACAGTGGAAGCTTCCTTAAAATTGTGGAGCTGATGGCTGAGTTTGATGCTGTACTCCAGGAGCATGTAAGAAGAGTCACCACCCGAGAAATGTACACACATCACTACCTTGGAAAAACAGTCCAAAATGAGATCATACAGTCACTGGCAACAAAAGTCAAAGAGAAGATTGTGCCAGATCTGAAGTCAGCAAGATATGACTCTGTTATTCTGGACTGCACACCTGACATCAGCCATACGGAACAAATGACTTTAATGGTGCATTTTGTAACAAGAACAGAACCTAGTGGAAATGTCCCTGCAATGGTGACTGTCAGAGAGCATTTTCTAGAATTTATTGACCATTTATTGATGATACTACAGGAGCTGGTATGACAAATGTGCTTCTTAAAAAGCTGGAACATATGGGAATTGTGATAGCTGACATGAGAGGTCAGGGCTACGATAATGGTGCCAACATGAGAGGAAAGAACAGAGGAGTGCAGACAGGGATCCGAGAGTTAAACCCTCGAGTTTTTTTTTGTCCCATGCAGTTCTCATTCATTGAACTTGGTGGTCAGTGATGCAGGATCAGCTTCTAGTGAGGCTGCTGAATTTTTTAATGCAATTCAAAGTACCTATGTATTTTTCTCTGCATCAACTCATCGATGGCAAATTTTGAAGGAATATCTGGGAACATCCTCTCTGACACTGAAACCACTGAGTGTGACATAATGGGAAAGTCGAGTGGAGGCGATAAAGCCTATCAAACACCAGATTGGGAAGATAGATGATGCCATAGTTGCCATTATGGAGGAGAATGCTATGACAGGAACTGTTTGTGGGAGAACAGTGGCAGGAGGAAATGGAATCACCAGAAACATACATAACTTAAAATTTCTGTGTGGCTTAGTTTTGTGGCATGACATACTGTTTGAAATAAATGTTGTAAGCAAGAGACTCCAAGGTGTTGACCTGGATATATCTGGAGCAATGGAACAACTGGACAAAGCAAAGTCATACCTACAGTCTTACTGGTCAGATGAGGGATTTCAAAAACGTTCTGAAGAGTGCACAGAAGTTGGCAGAGGAATTTCACACTGAAGCTATTTTCCCACCCATTCGAGAATACAAGAGTCACTGAAGAATACGACATTTTGATTTTGAGGCATGGGATAATCCCATAAGAAACCCCAAACAACAATTCAAAGTTGAATTATTTAACCAGGTGCTAGATTGTGCAATACAGTCAGTTGAAGAATGTTTCATGCAGCTCAAGGAACACAGCAATATATTTGGCATGTTGTATGATATTCCAAAACTCCTCACTATACCTGAAGAAGACTTACACCAGCAATGCAGGGCACTAGAGACAGTGTTGACACATGATGACATGCGCGATATTGATGCGAGTGATTTAGGTGATGAACTGAAAGCCCTTTCAAGATACATTTCAGCAGGATCAACTCCAAAGGCTGTTCTGGAATATATGTGTACACATAAGATGACCACCCTCTTTCCAAATGCTTTTGTTGCTCTGCGTGTACTTCTAACACTTCCTGTAACAGTTGCCAGTGGAGAATGCAGCTTCTCCAAGCTGAAGTTAATAAAAACACATCTACGCTCCACAATGACACAGGAGAGGCTGGTCGGCCTAGCAGCCATCTCAATAGAGCATGAGCTGGCATAGACTGTGGACCTTCTGCAGGAAGCAGTTCAAATCTTTGCAACCAAGAAGGCACGGAAAGCACCACTTTGATTATTCAAACAGATAAAAATACCATTGTTTACTATGCAGACAAGAAAAGTTACATTTGCTGTTCAGGGTTTGAAAGTTAAGTGTTATTTAAAATTTTTGAACAAGGCATTTTAAGTTGTTAGTTCTCCTTTATTGGGGAATGTAGCAGAGCAGTACCATGAAAGAAGTAGAACAGGAAGAAGGCAGAATTGAGACCTTTCAAAGTTTTGGCCCAAGTAAGGGGGTCTGGGGGCGTCATTTGAGCTCCCTGCCTCAGGTGCCAAAATGTTGTGGTCGGCCCTGATAGCCCCGCAGCCCGAGCCCTGGGAGCCTGAGTCAGCTGGCATGGGCCAGCTGTGGGTTTTTTCTTTGCTGTGTAGACATATACCCTGTTTTGGTATACAATTTTGTGTTGCTTCAGTCCATTAAGAATCATAGAATATCAGAGTTGGAAGGGACCTCAGGAGGTCATCTAGTCCAACCCCCTGCTCAAAGCAGGACCAATCCCCAACTAAATCATCCCAGCCAGGGCTTTGTCAAGCCTGACCTTAAAAACCTCTAAGGAAGGAGATTCCACCACCTCCCTAGGTAACCATTCTTGTGCCCTCATTCCTCCAGCACAGCACTCCACCATCTCTGTGCATCTCGATCAGAGAGAATACATATGCACCAGCAGCAGACACAATTTTCTACACTCTGGGTCCTAGTGGCGCCTTCCCCACAGTCTGGCACCTGAGGCGACTGCCTCAGTCAGCCTCATGAGAAGGCCAGCCCTGTATTTCATCCCTGTGTAGACTTCTGGGCTCAGCCAGCAGCCCAAACTCTTGGATGCTCCCACCCTGCAGGGTCTTAGAGCTCAGGCTCCAGGTCAAGCCCAGAAACCTACACTGCAATTAAACAGCCCCTTAGCCTGAGCCCCACGAGCTTGAATCAGCTGGCACAGACCCTCTGCGAGTGTCTAATTGCTGTGTAGACCTACACCTAGTGACTGATCTATGGGTAATGAGTCACCAGACTATTTTTAGACTGTGCTATACCCTTCAATTCAAGGCACTGTGCACAGAGGGTGCCACCAAGGTTTGATGCACTGGCTCAGGTGTAGTCTTATAATGGAAGAAATGCCTATGCCAGGGTAGTCAATAGGCGGACCATGGGCCAAATCAGAATCACCAGATGCTTTTGAACAGACCACAAATTATTTTTATTTCTTTATTATCATTATTGTTATTACTTTTTTATTATTTTCTCAGGAGTCTGGACCTTGACTATACATTGACCAAGAAATTTGGACCTTGACAAAAAATAATTGATTACTCCTGGTCCATATCTTTGCGCTGTCACCTATAGTATGTTAAAAGCAACTTAATTCTTTTTTAATAGAAGAAGAAAAATCTTAATCCTGAATTAATATTAAGAGCCAAATTGTGAAATGTATGTACCAAATTTCTGCCTGCAAAATGTGCATGGCCCTACCTACCTGCAAACCATGCAATTGTACATGCCTAAATGCACATCCATTTGCTCGTGCAACTACTCTACTTTGGTGCAGAAATGCTTGTTAGTGCACACACACACAGGATTTGCAGGCACAAGTATGCACTCCCATCTCACAGGTGCAGCTTAGATGCTACTTCTTGAAAGTGTGACCTTAAAATTCTGACTTAATCCTCAAAAGTGAGGACATTCCCTTGGGATTGGGTATTGCAGAGATCTGAGATTGTGTGAGGTCTAAAGGGGTGTGGATCTTTAGAACCAAACATGGGGAGAATTAAAAACAAACTGCAAAACCTCTAATCACCTGCTTTTGATAGCTCTAATGTTTTTCCTACATACTTTTGTGTACTTAACATTCTGTGCAATTTTTGTGACTGGACTAATATGACATGCTACTGTGTTTTTGCCCCAGTACTTTTGCAAAGCTTGACATTTTGGAGGGCCTGTTGAAGTTGTTGCTGCTGGTATATTATAACAAAACAAATGTAGTGAAAAAGTAAGAGACCAGGGAAGGTGTTAGCTGCTTCATGAAGCATGACATTGGAGGCTGGCTGACACTGCTTGAGCCTCCAACAGGTGTCTGGTTGACGCTTGTGGCATTAAATATCATGCAACTGTCAAATTCATATGGACAAGTACAAGATTAAGACTCATCCAGTAGCTGAAGGACCAAACCATCCTAGTGGATCAATGTGCTGCCGTGATGCATTTAGTACTGCATCAAACTGTGCAGTAGTGCCCTGACATGAGTATTTAAACTCTCAATAGATGTTGCACTGCCCAGGATATCTGGGTTTTTTACGTTCTCTTGCCACTGTGGAAGGCTGAAACTTGTTCCCTGTTTGCATTTAGTTAATCGTTCATGTGTTATCAGTGTCAGATAAACAAGGGCTCGTATTTTTCTTTATATGCACAGAACAGCCTAATGCCATAATCCTTACTCTCACTCTGTGACCCAACGGACAGAACGGAGGCGTGGGACTTACAACATGGGTTCTATTCCTGTCTTTCCAGCTGGGTGACATGGAGCAAGTCACTTCACTTCCCTATGCTCCAGTTGCCCATCTGTAAAATGGGGATAATGATACTGATCTTTTTGGTGAAGCACTTTGGGATCTACCAATGAAAATGAGAACTAGATATTATTACTCACATAGACAAGCGCAAACTCTTGAGAGTAGCTGATTGTCTACTGTGGACAACATGTGATACTCAGTATGAGTGGAGGTTGCTGAATTGACTCCTTATTGGACAAGACACCACAGGAAATGTAAAGTCAGACGGAGAACTACAAAGAGAGAAATATGCAGAGCATCTGTATGAAGGGAACAGGGCACTGATTCAATAAGGTACTTACATTTGTTCCAAACTTTGAGCATGTGGGCAAGTCCCACTGAATCAGTTCCATAGTTTGGAGTGATGTCACACACTTTGCAGAGGTATACCTGGACTACTCGGGGTCCAGGGCAATGGTTAATGAGGCCCAGGGTGTTTTGAGCCCTTCCTTTAGTGCACTCCCGCACGCAACCCACTCAAACAACCAAAAGACATATTCTTCAGTTGCAGCGCTCACTGACGTGCAGATCCATCACACAAGTGTTTTCAGCTTGTATTTCACTAGCTTTCCAGTGGATACCTTTTATTTAAGTGTTTAAGGAGAGAGGGAGAGTTACCCACAGATACCAATACTCTTCCACACCAGGCTTCATTCAGGTGCAGTGAAGACTTGAATGGTGTGCCCCTGCCCTGTGAAAGTCAATGAGAGTTTTGCCATTAACCTGGCTGGGAGCAGGATGTGGCCCTGCACAGCATGTGGGTCAGAGCCACACCACTCCACCAGGAGCTTCAGGAAGCCTCAGGGAAACATACAGTGCCTTTCAGAGCTCCAGCTCTCCATTTTTGTGCATGAAATTTTACCTATTTCCTGAGGTTTGATACATTGGAGACCAACCTGTTTTGCAGCCTTGAAGCCTATGGCAATATGCAAAAGAGACAAGACTCCAGTGAGTAATAGAATACACACATCCATACACAAAGTGTGATGCAGTTTCATGAAATGTGAGCGTCATTTGCCTGGAGAGAACACTAAGCATAAATAAATCTATAAATTACTATTCGACTTTGCATTAAGGAGACCTAGCTTCTTTACTGTTACTGCCGTTTGTGTTGCTGGGATGTAAGTCAGTTAGTGTATAATAGTGGTATGTGGCTGTGTAGGTACAAAAAAAAACATTTTAAATAAATGTGTTTT